GACGACGAGCGAGCGAGCGCGAGCGCGACGAGCGAGTCGAGCGTGAGCGAGCGAGCGAGGAGGCGAGAGCGAGTAGAGAGAGAGAGAGAGAGAGAGAGAGAGAGAGAGAGAGAGAGAGAGAGAGGGAGAGGGCCGCAAATAATTGTGGCTCCGTGCACAACAGGGGGAAGAGAGGGGAGTAGAGAGAAACAGGGCTGCCGATAATCATGGCTTTGTGCACAACAGGGGGAAAAGAGGAACGTAGAGAGAGAGACGGGATGAGAGAACGTCGGGTCTGCACGTAGATGCGGCTCTGTGCAAAGTAGGAGCGAGAGAGGAGTGAGGAGAGAGACAGGGCGGCAGGTTTTACGGCTTTGAGAATTGCTATTCACGCAAAGACGAGAGAGAGAGAGACGGGGTCGCAGGAGACTGCGGCTCAAGGGTTACTGTGCAGCAGAGAGAAGAGAGAAAGGGAAGAATGATGGGGAAGCAGGTAGCTGCGGCTCCGGGTTGCTGTGCAAGGAAGATGGAGTAGAGAGAGAAAGAAGGAACGAAAGCGAAAGGGGAGAGAGAGTGGGCTTGGGGTGTGACCTTGCTTAGGTGCACCACCTTTTACCCCTTTGCTTGCACATGAGAGAGTGGGAGGCTAACCATAGGTCAAGATTAGGCTGCATGGACCATGGTGTAGGCTTGGGTGGACTATGGCATATGGACTATGGTGTAGGATAGGGGAACTAGGGTGCGGATTATGACGTAGGCTAGGGTGTAGGTTAGGGAGTATGGGCCAGGGGTAGTTTCTCTCACCAAATATTTCTCTCTCCTCACCACTTGATCCAAGAGTTAGAAGCAAAATGCAAGCTTAATGCCTCAATTTCATTAAAAATGATCAAGCCCCTTTACAATTGACCTAAGCTTGTTTATATAGAACAACCACTGAACATGGGTGGAATGCCCAAAACTAAGCCAAATTGTTGAAAATTACATATTAAATGAATTAAAATAAAACCTCTTTTTGGGCATAATGACCAAAATAACATTTTGATCTTTTAAGCAAATGACAAAACCATTCCTCCTTGAGGGGCCTCTTGCCATTGCTAGACTTCGGGAGCTTTTTCGGACCTTGCGGCGGCGATTTGGGCGATCAATCTTCGTAGAATCGATGCTTGATCCATCACAAATGTTTTGATGCCCTTTGATTGTCTTGAAACGGATTTTTCATGGATGGGCAAAAATCTAGCCAAGTCCATAAACTTCGACCACCAATGCAGCGCAATCCATGATGTTCCGAGTCCTCATTTTGATCACAAATTGAAGGGGACATTGTCATGATCGTTTTGCACCAAATGCCGTTTGATTTGGTTTCCGTTTGAGCATATCCCTAATTTGGGAATTGTCGGAAAGTGTGATTCCGACAACCTGAAAATCTTGCCATTTTCAACGTTGAAATTTGTGCTATCCGACCCTCAATTAAGCGCAAAAATTATACAAAACTGTAGCCCTTCGCGATGCGGTCGCAATGGACCTGTATTTCCGACGATCCGACACCCGAATCTCAAGTTATGACTTCGCGAAGTATGGGGCATCTTCTTTTAAAATTCTGATTTTCATGTTTTTGCGCTCGTCTTCTCTTTAGAAATTCTCTCGTTTCGGGACCTAGCTCATGTCCAAATTTGAGCATGTTTCGACTCAAGACGAACGAGGTATGAGCATTTTGAAAATCGTCCTGAGAAGTGAGAACACGTTGGTTCACTAAGGCTGCACTGCAATAGTGTAAAACCCACTATTGCAGTGCAGCATGATAGGAGCTGGATTTGATAACCGAGTTTCGTCCTGATCATATCAAAACTAATTGGAATGTGACGAAACTTTGTGAGTGTCCTTCGGGCATCCCAAATTACCATTTTCATGCCTTTTGAAGCCGTTCCAGTATTTTTTTCAAAGTGTCTTGGGTACTGGCAGAACCAGGTTGTTACTGACTCTCTCCTGATACGACTTGGGAATACAAGTAAGTCAAAAATGACGTATAGTAGTTACAATATCAGAGGATCGACATACTTCAAGAAAACTGCTCTCTTATTACAGTACACAAAAAAATGATCAATTGCCTGTCTCTTCCACTATTTCACCCATTAGTGATGATGGAGCATCCATGACTGATCCATATTTGTATGTCTTAATGTAGCCCTTAATCTCTTCTGCATTCTTCTTAGCATCATGGAAGGGATAGCCTTTGTACCTGGGCCTTGTGATGTCACTGAATCCAAAATAGGCTGAAAGCAGGAGTTTTAGGGCATTAGGTATGGCTGAATCATACATCGACTGGGCTACACACATGTCTGCGCTTTCTATTGCCTTCTATCTATCCCACACACTTTTGATTGTTGGCTTTGTTGTCCTAGGTGGGAAATAATCTTTTATCTCACCCTACCTTCGGGCCTACTAGTTGCACTTGTGGTAGGCTCTTTTCCTCCCTGTCCTTCTCAATTGCTCTAAATGGTGGGACTCCTTTTCAAAGTGTCCA